GGGCATGGCCCACAACTTCGCGGACCAGGTCGCGCATGAACTTGGTGTGACGAGTCTGGATGTTCTTCAAACGAGATCCACGCAGACCCTTCACCTTCTTGTCTCCGGTGTACTTGACATTCTTGACTTTGGATGTCTTGTGGCCTTTATTGAGGCCGATGCAGAGCTCGTAGCGGACAGCCATCGTCACTCAGTTGCTGTAAAAAGGTGGAAAGCCGCGAGTCTGTTTGTGTGAGAAGTATTGTAGATGTAGATGACAGATGAAGAAAAAATGTAAAATTTGACAAATAACCGCTAAGGTGCAGATGTAGTCCTGAGTTCCGGGTATAAAAGTTGTGACGCGAAAGAAGCGGCTCACACTACCCTTCTCGTTTTTTTTGCTTTTGCTCTCGTTTCAAAGTTTGCCTCATGCAGTATGCTGCTCTGGGGAAGTGGGGCGAGCTAAACGGGTGTTTTGGTGTCACAAGTGATGTAGATGTAGATGACAGATGTAGATAAAATGTTTAATGTTAAATTTAAAATTCGAAAAGAATCACTAAGGTACAGATAAACTGACTGAGTACTGGGTATTAAAATTGTGAACAGTTCTTTTGGAACGCATTTAGAACTGGTGGTTGGTGTTATTTTAACTACGTGAAACGCTCGGTTCTCGTTTCCAGCTGTAGTTTCCGAAAGAAACATTAAAGAAGACATCTTTGGCATGCATCTAGAACCTTGGAAATGTATAGTGTATGCCTAAAATAAAAATTCCATAGGAAACTATTAAGAACCGAAAAGAACCCACACACATGCATATATATGTACCAAAACGATTTAAATTTTCAAATGCATTCCTTTTATTCGATTTCATTAAATATACGCTATGTTACAAGTAAATGAAAGAAACCCTTAAGCATGTATAAATTGTCCATGTGCATATCCATTTGTTTGGCCATGGTGCTTTAAACCCTTGTTTGGTATTTTAAAAATATAAAAACGGCATATATGAAACTGTTACAACTAAATAAAAAAGGAAAGCTCACCCCATTTATGTTAAGGAACTGTGCAACCCATGCACCCTGGGCGGAAAATATGCTGAAAAGTGTGATCTAAAAGAAAGGAATTATATAAATAAATTTAAAAGTGGCATACATATACACTCCCAATCAGACGAATAGACTCACGAGTTTTCAAAAAGAAACGAGAAGGGACTTGTGAGACGCTTCTTACGCGTCACAACTTTTATACCCGGCACACAGTTCAACATCTGCACCTTAGCGGTTATTTGTCAAATTTTAAATGTTTTCTTCATCTGCCATCTACATCAACAACACTACTCACACCAACACGCTCTTTTAGCTCGCCGCCCTTCCCTAGACCCACACACTGCAGACTCGCGGCAGAGGCAGCGTCCGCACACAAAAAAAAAAACAAAAAAAGCTGCGGGACGGGGTGGGTTAAAAGTCGGAAGAGTTAGCGCCAGGGGGAGGGCAGAGGCAGGGGCCGAGTGAAGCAGAGTGTGAATGAGAAAATGTAAAAAGAACAACAAAAGCTGCGGGACAGGGTGGGTTTAGGCACTGGAAATTAATTTCTTCATTGTGGCTACAATAATGATCCAATCGGATCATAATCTGGTGATCTGATAGATATGGCCATTTTGTACGGAATGGCGTTTTTAGTTTTCTTGTATCTTTAAAACTGTAGATTTAGGAGGTTTTCGCCCTTTTGCGGTGGCGGAAGGGGCGTGGCTCATTTTTTAAATACACTGGTTTCAGTGTGAGCATACAGCAGTCCGGAGCCAAAATTTGGTGGCTCTAGCTCTTATAGTCTCTGAGGACTAGCCGACAAACAAGACGGACGGACACACGGACACACGGACAGACAGACATGACTCTATCGACTCGGCTATTGATGCTGATCAAGAATATATATAATTTATGGGGTCGGAAGCGCTTCCTTCTCTGCGTTACATACAACCCTTATTCACATAAATACAATGTACCCTATTTACTCTTCCAGTACAGGGTATAAAAAATAACCAAGGTTGTGATTCGTAAGAAACGTCTCGCACGTCTCTCGTTTTTTTCGAATTTTATGTTTGACATTTTACATTTTTTCTACATCTGTCATCTACATCTACATCACATCTCACTTCAACACGCTCGTTTTGCTCGCCCCTTCCCTAGAGACGCACTCTGCACGAAGCTCAGTGTGGAATGAGAGAATGTGCAAAAAAATACACAGTAACCACTGAAAATTAATTAAACTGCGCTAGCCTTTTGCGTTTCAAGGTATAATAATGATCCAATCTGAACCCAATTCGGTGATCTTGGTATTTGGTATTTTGGTATTTTCCTACGGAATGGCTTGTTAAGTTTTCTCTTATCTTAAAAATGGTTTATGGGGTTGGGCTAATTAAAAAAAAAACTTTTGTTGGGTCGAAAACGCTTCCTTCCAAATATAATATACCTTATTTACTCTTGGAGTACCTGAAATAACAAAATAAAAATTCGATTCTACACTGAAGAAAAGGCATTGCCACTCCCATTTTGTCGTTTTTACGTTTCTCTTATCTTTAAAATTGTGGCTGTGGGAGATTTTCGCCCTTTGAGGTTCGGAAGGGGGCGTGGCGAATCACACGAGGTTTCACACAAAATTTTGTTTATCTAGCTCTTATAGTCTGTGATATCCGGACAGATAGAAAGACATTGACTCGGCTATTGATGCTGATCAAGAATTATATATGTATACTTAATGGGTTCGGAAACATTTCCTTCTGTGCTTTACGCACATTGCTCCCATCACAAATACAATATGCCCTATTTACTCTTCGAGTACCTGGTATCAAAAAGACAATTATTTTGTATGCCGGTTTCTGTTTGACAAGTTTTTTAAGTGAACTTTAAACCTCATTGATGGACGGATGGCGATAGAAAAATAGATAAATTCACTGTTAATAAAGAATGAAATTCTAAACAGACAATGATTAAGAATTCATTGAGGAACTTGAAATATCTGTAGCCCAAAGGTAACATTCGATTCGATTCTCATTCTACCCCTCGGGCCCCTTTGGGTCGGAGACTTTCACATGCCAGAACTCGTGCTGTGTAATGGTGGGGAAAACCAACTGACTGCTAAGATATCAATCGAAACTTACATCCGCGTGCCCCTGTCCACGTAAAAAGTTGAGCGTATGAGCAATGCTTTAAACTGCGCTAGCCTTTTGCCTTTTAAGCTGCAAAAAACTTAAGGCCATTTTGATTGGATTGCAGAAATGGATCGGATCATGGATCATGGGATCATGGGATCATGGGATTGTCGAAAGATAACTCTTTCGGATCTCTAAGTATAGCAGAATAGAATCTCTGACTATCTTACAAAATTTCAAAGAAGATTATTATTCCATTTGTATACCCGGTACTCGAAGAGTAAATAGGATTAGGACTAGATTGGGTCATTATTATAGACAGAATGAAGAGTGCAGGGGCCACCCATTTTAAATTCCTCTTATCTTCAAAATTGGTGAGCAAAATACAGCAGATTTTCGCACTTTTTAGGGCGGAAGGGGGCGGTGCTAATTTTGAAAGACACTTGTAACAGTGTGATATCACACAAAATGTGGTGACTCTAGCTCTTATAGTCTGTGATATACGGACAGACAGAAAGACATAGACTCCGCTATTGATGCTGATCAAGAATATTTATGTATACTTAATGGGTTCGGAAACATTTCCTTCTGTGCTTTACGCACATTGCTCCCATCACAAATACAATATGCCCTATTTACTGATCGAGTACCGGGTATAAAAAGTTGTGAATTTAAGGAAGTTTTCTGATTTTTCCTTAAAGTATCGACAGGAATTGCACTTTGCTAAATATATTCCTTCAAAACATAAAGCTTTTAGAGTAAAACATAGAGTTTTAAGCTAGAGATTCCACCCAACCGTTGATTTCCCTTAAAATTTCCCTTTATTTAAAAACCTTACTCGTCACTTGTAGATCTCAAATGTAACCTCTAGGCAATCTCATTACCATTTCATTGGTAGTTCCCCCGTATTGTTATTCGTAGTGTATATATTAATTCGACATCAACCACCAACAAATGTTATTATTCAAGACTCATTCAATTTCATTCGGCACTTAATTACACTACTCGACAAAATCCAACTTTTTTTCGGCTTCGAACCAAACAAACTTTTTCTGATGGACTGGTGGCTGTAATTTTAAAGTCTGGTATTTTTTGCAACGGTTTTTTTATAGGTAGCGCTTTTTTGCACATAACTTAATTTAAGTATCTTAAAATTCCTTATTCCCCCTGCCATACTCCTGCCTCAGAAAAAACAAATATTTTATCAAATTGTTATTATTATTATCAAACATTTCTAACCACCATATCTTTCATAAAAAGTTTGTGTGGATCGAAGCTTCAAAATCGTGTCGAGTAGTGTTATACGAGCTTTTGCCTACGTCTTCCACCTCTCAGAAGAGTCAAAAGTTCGGCATACAGCCAGTCAGCAGATGATGTTGATGATTTCTCGCCGGCGTTTTCTCAGTCTCTTAATTGTTCACCGCATCTGAAGATTGTTGAAGTCGCATTTTATTGTTAATTTGTTTGTAGCTCCAATCCGGTTCTGGTTCTCATTTCTGGTTCATTCAATTTTCGTGTCTTCTTGTTAAGTTCCTTTGTTTTAAGGAATGTAAGAAGCTATTATACAATTTTTTCTGTTGTTATCTTTTACATTTCCGGGTTGCGATACCCCCAAACCATCGAAATCATATAACGTACAAGTTGATTTGCATATTTTGATCTTTAAATATTTACGAAAGTAATTTTTTCATAGAGCTCCTGTCGCTTAGTCACGAATTGCAGCTTTCGCGTTTGCAAGATGCGATGAGAGTGGCCGTTTTGCATGATTTTGCAATGCAAATCTTATTAATTAAGTGCTCTTACAAAACATATCCATCCATGGATATTTATTTTTTGAAGATTTATTGATTTTTTACCCACATCTCATATGTAGATTTTATCAGCAATAAGCCGCACCAACCAGCATGAAAGGCTGGTTCGACGCATTTCGAGACGATGGGGGACCAACGCTGTACTCATTCTCCAACCGAACACCAGTCACCGGTGATGTCTCCATTGTGGCAGTCTCTGTTTTATTTGCCACATTCTATGTCGCATTTTTGGTCATATTTCCGGGTGTACGAAAGCAGGTGAGTTGGCCAGTGGGATAAGGGAGCAATCGTATTTTTAAATTCTCTGGACTATGATATGTTATGATTGCACCATCAAGTGGCCCATGCAGAACGCAGCCCAATTTCAATTTTGCATTTGACATTTGTCAGTGACATTAGTATCTGTCATCTACACGTACATCACTTCTCACGCCAACACGCTCTGTTAGCTCGCCCCACTCCCTTAGAGCCGCACACTACACAAGCAGAGTTTGGAATGAGAGAATTTGCAAAAAATTTAGTTTCTTCATTCTGGCTATAATAATGATCCAATCTGACTGATCCAAGCTGTATACACAATTTTGAAGATAAGAGAAAACTTAAAAAACCATTCCGTAGGGAAGGACCTTATCTTTCAGATCACCAAATTGGGATCCGATCGGATCAATTTTATAGCCACAATGGAGAAATTAATTTCCAGTGGCTAAACCCACCCTGTCCCGCAGCTTTTGTTGCTCGTTTTACATTCTCTCATTCACACTCTGCTTCTGCTTCACTCGGCCCCTGCCTCTGCCCTCCCCCTGGCGATGACTCTTCCGACTTTTAACCCACCCCTTCCCGCATCTTATATTTGTTTTTTTTTTTTTTTTTTTTGTGTGAGGGCGCTGCCTCTGCGTCTGCCGCAAGTCAGCAGTATGTGTGTCTAGGCACTAACCAAATAGTATAGTTATATACTATATATATATACTATATATATATACTATATACTATACTATTTGGTTAGTGGTCTAGGGAAGGGCGGCGAGCGTGTTAGTGTGAGAAGTGTTGTAGATGTAGATGACAGATGAAGAAAACATTTAAAATTTGACAAAACACAGCTGAGGTGCAGATGCACTATTGTCCCAATGACCAGTTTTGGTGGCTGTTTACGCCAAATTAGCGCAAAGGGCTTATGGCCGGGAGCAATAAATATTTTGTATAAGTAAAATGAATTTGTAGCATTAAGCTATTGAATTGTTGCATTTACGACATACTGACAGAAGTTTGTTTAGTTTGTTTGTTTGTATTAGAAAAAGAGTGACCATCAAAGTTGCGTACCAGAAAATTTCATAGATGGCGCCACTTTCGAAAAATCTGCTGTGAAACATAGCGGTCATTATAGCACAGATTGTGCACGGAAAAAGTACCAATTTTATTGCTGTTTTAAATATCTCATAAATTGGAAAATACGATTAACTGATCAAATTTTTTTGATGCATCTTATTTAGTAGGCTTTTTACTACGTGTTCTGTAATGTGAACGATGTCTAGTGGTTGGCGATGTCTTCTACATCTAGATGTAGTCCTGAGTGCCGGGTATAAAAGTGTGACGCGTAAGAAGCGTCTCACACGTCCCTTCTCGTTTTAAAATGCACTTGTCTCAGTGTGATATCATAACAGTCTGGAGGCAATTTGGTTTTTCTGGCTTTTATAGTCTCTGAGAACTAGCCGAAAAACAAGACGGACAGACGGACGGGCAGACAGACATTGCTATATAGACTCGGCTCTTTATGCTGATCAAGAATAATTATATATACTCTATGGGGTCGCAAACGTTTCCTTCTGTTCGTTACGTACATCCACTTTGTGCACAAATACAATACACCCTATTTAATCATCGAGTACCGGGTATAAAAAGGTCGGTTTGGTTCCTTGAGGAAAAACAAGCTCTAGCAGAGTAATCGAATATCAGGAAGCAGTGAAGTTTTTATTTACATAAGGGCTAAAGATTCCGTTTGACCTTATTTAGCATTTTGAAGAGAGAAATTTGATAGAGCTATTAAGACTCAAACTTAAACTTAAATGAAGTTTATTTTCTTTAATTCATTGAACCAGTTCTCAAATTATTTTAAATACATGTTTTAAATACCAGTTCATGACTAAAATTTTGAAGTTTTGTACATATGTATAATTAATATTCGTTCAGTATTTTTACTGTGAACTAGTGGAAACTAGTTATAGCATACAAGTATCAATAATAATCTCAATAATAAAAAATAATCTCAACGGATTTATACCCATTTAAAATTTGATTTGATTAAAATCTAGTTTAAATATATACATTTTAAATATCAAAACAAATTAAAATCCCAACATTCAAGTTTTCTGAACGAGTTTCCCTGGCATCAACCTAAATTAGATCTAAAGTAGTGCTCATAAAAGTCTTAGAAGCATCGTAAATGTAATACATAAAGTACATTTCATTAACCGCAGCGTATAAGTGTGGTATTTATGTATTAATATACCGAATATTATTAGCAGCTACTTGAGGCCTCAACGTCCGATCCGATACGTTTTCTCACGCTGCTGCTGTTGCTGTTGCCGGCTGGTCTGTGCGTCGGCTGGCTGTCTGTCTAATTGTCTGAATTGTGGAACTGTCTGTAATCGACGGCACGTTTCCAAACAGATGTCAGTTAAACATGATATACATATAAATATACTATTGTTGAGACTATGGGTAAACCCGTTAACGGAAGGGCGTGCCCTCTTCTTGTATTTTGGGGTCGCAATCGGAAACAATTGTTGGCTGAATTAAAGCTTGCAAATACTAATAACACTGTTCCATTAGTCTTACATTCGCTGTCGAGAATATTGGCGTTTTCACTGGTATTTTCCAGAGGCATCACGGGAATAGAAGACACAGTTATCAGAAAATCGTTTTACATTAACTGTTTGTTCTTTTTCCGAGAATATTGTTATTTTGATTTAAATTTAACGAAATATTGAAAAGATATATTAATTAGTTAAAATTCAAAACTATAAATTTAATTTAAAAATTAATTTTGTGAAGCTAAATTGATTTTTAATTAATATGAAAACTATAAAATTAAAAATCCACCACCCTTTAAAAGGCAAAATCAGTGTATCCTTTCGCTTATGGGAAAATTGTCATTGCCTTTTCATTCGAATTAATTTGCTGAACGCTTTCAAGTATAACGAAGTTAAAATAAGTGGCTTTTTTATTAAAGTTGAATACCAATATAGTTTGTAGTTTCTGCAACAGACAATTATTATTTTAATTCTTACAGAAATTCACAACATTCTCGACAGTCACACTTTCGCTTTTTGTGGGTCTAGTCATTCTGAGTGAGTACCAGATGGGTGACCTTCAATTAATATATAAAAATATGAATAAAATACTGATTTGCATATGCTCAATCTCTTCACACGTTTTTATCGCACCGCAACAACGAACAGTCACTCGTTTGGGATCCGCGTGGCATGTGGCACATGCAACCATCATTGCACCGTATAAAGCCTTCTCACGCGAGAAGCTACCAGCTCGGATCGGCACCCACATTGGTCTCATGCATGTCAATGTAACGTTGGCAGGTAAGTTTTCCAATCTTTAAATCAGGAGGTCTTCCCAAGTACTAATCGTTTTCGTCGTAGTTTAATGGGTGAATGGGTTTTCATATTTGATTGCTTTTTATGCAGGGACCCCAACTATTGGCAGAGCTTTGCTTCTATTTGTGTTTACATTTGTATTTGAGTTTTATTTTGGTTAAATTGACTAAGGCGTAACGTTTAACGATTGGGCTTAAAATTGCTGGGTAAACTTTGTGATAGTTTTAATTTTGTGTGGTTATTGGTCGAGGTTATTGTCTTGAGGTAAAGGGAGGATGATCATTGATAGTTAAATCATAGATTTTTATGGAAGCTCATAATTTTGTAAGTTTTGTTTAAATATTCCATATATTCCATACATACATTATTCCTCTAATGATTTGCTTTCCAATTAAATATGATTACAAAAATGTATTTTAATGTTTAAAACGTTTTTGGACTGTCTAAATAAAATACTCAGTATTACATCTGTAGTTTTGTGTTTTTTATTTTTTTATTTAAATGTTTTTTTTACTTCTGTCATCTACATCTACATTAATTCTCACGCAGAGGTGGGGGTGGCGGGCTTACGGGCAGACTATGGCTAATGGGAATTACACATCTTAAAGTGTGTTCAACTCTACTCAAAGATTGCATACCCTTAAAGATTTAAAGATTACTTGATTTAAAAACTGTATGCCGAAAAACTCCCAGAAACTTGTTTCAAGACCGATTTATTATTTAAAAATTAGTTTGCAATTCATTACAAATATTAAGTTTCACTAAAAAAATTAGAAAATCATTATAACCTGCCCCAAAAGATGTGTACATATTTTGTGTATGTATATAGCATAGCATAGATAGATAGCAACTGCTGCTGCAGTTTAGGGATTGACTTGGTGTTTGACTTGAGGTTAGGCTCTGGCTTCTGGCTAATTTATTTCCCAAAATGTTGTGGTTTATATTTGTATTCATCTGAATTTGTTGGTGGGTCGAACGAGTATAATGGATGGGGAGGTGACGTCAGTGGTGCTGCGGTTGCTGCCGCGTTGGCTCCTGCCAAGTACCAAGTCAAGTTGCATGTCACGATTCTTGGCAACAATAGAGGCAGCAGAGGCGGCAGCAGAATTGGCAGCTGGGGCAGCAAAAATAGCAAGAAGCAACAGCAACAACTTGAAATGCCACTCGACTCGCGCTATGCCCGACACCTGCGGAAATATTCGACAAATACAAATACAAATACAAATAGCAAAAACGTTTGCCGTACAGCCCTCCATGTCTTTACACATACATTTATGTATATAGATCCCCCTATATATACATATATGTGTACCTGAATCTGTTTTGTTTATTAAGATTTCACTCACTTTGCTCATCGAAAAGGTGAAATTCTTTTCTGTGTGTTGTTGGTGGGCCTACCTTAGACCTCAGCTGAATCAATTGGAATTCCAGTTTCAAGTAAACTCAAGCATGAATAGTCCATACATACTCCTGGCACCCTGCCGTCTGCTCCCATATATTCCTCACTCCACAAAATGCGAACAAATGTTACGAGTGGCTTGTGGTAAAGCAGTTGTCTGTTCTGTCCTGTGTGGCCATATAACAATCATTTTCTGTTCGAAAAATATGGAGATTAAGTATTATCGTAGAATGCCCGTTAGGAGGGTATGCTGCAGCGAATTTTCTTTATTGAAATCTGAAATCTGATTTTGAATTAAGTGGGCAGAATTAAGTGCTTGGATGTTGGCTTTTGGTTTTTATGTGAATTTTAGGGATTGGCACACTGGGGAATGCTTTGTTGAGAATCGAGTCGACATAGCAATGTCTGTATGTCCGTCTGTCTGTCAGTCCTTATGAGTGCCTAGTACTCAGACACCATAAAAGATACGGCAACCAAGTTTTGCCTCCAGATTTCTGAATGCTCACACTGTTACAAGTGTATTTTAAAATTTCGCCCCGCACCATTCCGACCGCAGGGCGAAACACTGTACTCGAAGAGTAAATAGGGTATATTTTATTTGTGTGAATAACGGTTGTATGTAACGCACAGAAGGAACCGTTTCCGACCCCATAAAGTATATATATTCTTGTTCAGCATCAATAGCCGAGTCTTGTTTGTCGGCTCAGAGACTATAAGAGCTAAGCCACCAAATTTTGCATCCAGACTGCTATATGCTCACACTGAAACCAGTGTATTTAAAAAATGGGCCACACCCCGTTGTTTTTTTAGTGTGCGCGGGCGCTGCCTCTGCCTCTGCCGCGCGTCTGCAGTGTGTGGGTCTAGGAAAGGGCGGCGAGCTAAAGGAGCGTGTTGGTGAGAGAAGTGTTGTAGATGTAGATGACAGTTGAAGACAAAATTTAAAATTTGACAAAACACCGCTAAGGTGTAGATGTAGTACTGAGTGCCGGGTATACAAATTGTGACTTATGTCGACATTATGTCGGAGTCCATTTGGGTTTTGGCTAATACAGATTTTGTGAAAACCCATCCCTCCTATCATGGCAAATGTTATTTCGGTAGCTTTTTAAGCCCCATCGAAACCTCAAACGAAACCCCAAACAGAATGACGTTTGCCAAAATGTGTTCCACGAGTTACTCCATTCACTCTATTGTTATATCTATTATTCTTGTTCCCTGTTGGATGGATGAATAAATACTTGGGTGAAAGGGTGGGAGTTGTGTGTTTCCTGTTTAGTAAAAGGGCAAACGTTGCTTCAAGTTGACAGCTGCTGCTGACTGCGCCACAAAATATTTATAGTATTAGGTACATTTTTATTTTTTGTGTGATTTGCTGTTGGATTTAGAATATGATAATTGAGCATGTCAATCTTTGGAGTGTGTCTTAGAGGCCTCTCTATGACTAAATAGACAACTTAATTATTGCACTCATTACGGAGTGGTTCAAAGTCAACCAAATTTCAAATACCATTTTAGGTATCCAAAAACTGTTAATGATAATTTACATTACAAATTACATTTTATAAAGATAATTACCACCGTATGAATAAAAAATCTTTTTGTTGTATGATTTTATGGGCCAATCTGAGGTCTTAATGATATATCATTTATGAAACTTTTGTTTCACTTCCAATTAGGGTTGCAGAGTTTTTGCGGTTCTCGTGGCCTTTGTTCATTAGCTGACTTATTTTATTGCAGTTTCATTCGAAGTGCAAGGATTTTCAGTGAGGCCAGGTGGTTTCCAGGTGGGTTTGATTGCCTTCATCCTTCCCTTCTAAGTAACTGACTCACTCAATCGACTGGAACTCATTGAGATATATGCATGTACATAGGGTTTTTAATTGGCAAATTACGTTAATAGAGGCTTCGTACAAAAAGAGTTTTGTGATTCCAAGAATGGAAAAACACAACCAGTGTTCATTATGAAGTAATTTGAGTAATTCTACACACATGAGAAAAATCAGAACTAGTGGTTATGGGTATAGATGGTATGGGTGTAGAATTTATAGCAGAACCTACATGCATTAAATTCCGAATACTTTGACTTTGTGACCGAAATGGGCGATAGAACAAATATATATAGACAAATCCCATGAATTGAAATTTTTCTACAATATATAATTGGAATACAATTTTTGGTACGTTTCCTAAACAAGAGAGTTGTTTAAATTTATTTTATTTAATATTTTGTTTTGTTTAAAGGAAATATATCGATGGAGCTTACTTCAAGTCAGCTTTTTTTTTATAGAATGACTACTCCATTAATTCAGAGGGCCGTGTGCCTGAACAAAAGTACTCAAGTACTCCTCAAGTACTCCTCATTAATTTGTCTACAAAAAGCTATTTGTGTCACATGTGTCACATGCATTTTTTGTGTCACATGCATATTATGTGGCTGTCTAGATTTCTGCCTAATTTTTGACACTTTTCACTCTCTCCAAGTGCCCACAAATGTAATATAATTTTCTATATATAAAATAATTCCATTCTATTTGCCATTTATTTATTCGTTTTAACAGACAAACTCATGACAGAAATGGAACGTACTTAAATATATTTCTAGCTGACAAGTGATAAAAGGGGGTGATGCAGAAACGAGGTGTAACGCTGATGACGTAGGAGTATATCAGTATAATTTAGAAGTCGAGTTGCCATTGTCTCTCTGTTTTTCTTTGTGTCCGAGTATTGTGTCGTGTGTCTTGTGCCTCTTTGGCTATTTTAAAGTCAGTCTTAGTTCAGTTTGTCTTTTTTTCCCGGTACTTGAAGAGTTAATAGGGTATATTGTATTTGTGGGGAAAACATGTAACACACAGAAGGAAGGTTTTCCGACCCCACAAAGTATATATATTCTTGATCAGCATCAAGAGCCGAGTCGATATACCCATGCCTGAGTGTCCGCCATATATGTCAGCTAGAGCCAACAAATTTTGCATCCAGACTGCTGTGATATCACACTGATACAAATGTATTTCAAAAACATGGGGCGAGCTTCTGCTGTATCCATAATTTTAAAGATAAGATAAATCTTAAAACTCAATTCCGTAGGGAATGACCATATCTATCAGATCACTGAATTGGGATTAGATTTAATCATTATTATAGGCAGAATGAAGACATTAATGTCCAGTGGCTAAACCCACCCCGTCCCTCAGTTTATATTTATTTTTGCACATTCTCTCATTCCACACTCTGCTTCAGCAGTGTGCGGCTCTAGGGGTGGGGGGCTAGCTAACAGAGCGTGTTGGCTTGAAAATTGATGTAGATGTAGATGACATATTTAGAAAAAATGTAAAATGTAATATGTAAAATTTGAAATAATTACAGATGCCTACTGAGTACCTGGTATAAAAGTTGTGACGCTTAAGAAGCGTCTCACACGTCCTTCCTCGTTTTTTGTTGTATCAGCTGCTGACACACTCACACACTTCCCGCAGTATCTCCACATCACTTCTCTCCTCCGTCTCTCCAGCCACAAAGAATTAATCATAATCAGCATAATCATCACTTATAATTATGAAAAGGCATAATATAAAAATGTTTAAATTTA